GTATGGTGGGGGGGAAGAAACCTGATGCCCAGAAAAGCCAACCCTTGGCAGGCCAAAGCTAGGACAGACCTGACCTCCTGCCCCTCGACTGGCCCCACCCAGCCCACCATTTACAGCTATTTCGCTTTGTACATCAAAGAACCCCAGAGCCAGCCGCAGCCTCCCAGGGCAGGAGCAACCCTTGCGTGCTGTATTAGAGCTATTAGCCTGGCTCTGAGCATGACCCCTCCTGCCAGTTTTGTGCCACTAGCCCTGGGAGCGATGCCAACCCACAGCCCATGTGTGCCTGCCCACGACCAGCCCACAGAACCATCCCTGAGCTCCGGTTTCTGATCCCCACGCAGGGCCATGGCTGTGCACGGAGGTGGATGTGCCCAAGAGAACCCCAAGCCCAGTTTGCCGCAGAGGAGGGATGAAGGGGAAGCTGAGGGCAGGGATGCAGTGAACGGGTGGTGGTGGGAGGGCTGCCCCTTGGGGCATGATGCTGTGCTGGGTGGCCGGGGGATGTCCGGGAGCGGGAGTGAGATAAGGAACCTCTTGGCTCTGATCCAGCCCGGCTGGGGGTATGTGACCTGCCTCAGCTCCCATCTAATACATGGGAGCTCTCAGGCCAGGTCTCAGGAGGGGTTGTGCCCTTGTGACACACACACACACACACACACATACAGGTGGCTTGTGGGCCCAAGTGCTGCTAGCCCTGGAGGCTGAACCTTCTCCCCCTCTTGGGGCACAAGAGGGGAATAAAGTTGTGACCTTTAGCTCTTGTTTTTGCAGCAGGTGCCCCCTAGGATCATGGCCTTTACCTACTACTCTGCCTGAGTGGGGTCACAGATCAAGGAGCTTAGGGACCATTTGGCCCTCCTGTGTAACACAAGTCATTTAACTTACCCCTGCATTGAGCTCAAGAACTTGTGTTTGACTAAAACATCTTCCGGACAAGCCTCCAGCCTGGATCTGGGGACACCAAGAGATGGAAAATCCACCACTTGGGAGGTGGTTCCAATGGTTAAACACCCATCCAGTTAAACGTGTGTCATTTTTAATGTGATTTCCTCTGGCTTCAGTTTCCAACCATCGGTTCTCGTCCTGCCTTTCTCTGCTAGGGCAAAGAGCCCTGCAGGACCCGGGGTTTTCTCCCCAGTGAAGATACTTGAGATGCTCTAATCGGGTCCCCTCTCAATCTCCTTTCTGATAAGTGAAACGGACGGAGCGTCTCTCACTGTCTGGCATTTTCTCCAGCCTGCAAATCAGTTTTGTGGCTCTTTTCTGCACCCTCGACAACTATCCAACATCCTTTTTAAAATGGGGATCTCAGGTCTGGCCGCAGTCTCCAGCAGCGGTCGCTCTCCCTGATGCAGACAGAGAGAAAATCCCCACCCTGCTGACTAGCTCTTTCTGCCGCCACATCACCCTGGGAGCTGGGGGAGTCGTGTGTCCAGGATGACCCCGGAAACGCTGCTGTCCAGGATCCCCCCGCCCCCCCCATCTTGTAGGTCTGGCCGGCGGGCCTCGCCCACACCGTGCACGGGGCTGGGTGAAAACACGGGTTGTTTGAATGCGCTCAGCTCCCGCTCTACAGCGACGCCCCCCAGCCCTGCTCATTGTGTGCACCCCTGACCCAGCCTGCCCCGGCCCCTGCCCAGCCTGGCTGCCCCGGCCCCTGCCCAGCCTGGCTGCCCCGGCCCCTGCCCAGCCTGGCTCGCCCCGGCCCCTGCCCAGCCTGGCTCGCCCCGGCGCTCCGCAGCCTGCCCCGGTGCCCTGTCGCCCTACC